TGTGCTCCTGGAATTGTTCTGGGCCAGGCTGAGATGGAGGTAGACAAAGAGAGGATAGAAAAAAGGCATTGCGGCTCGGCGCCTGTGGCTCAAGCGGCTAAGGCGCCAGCCACATACACCTAAGGTGGCGGGTTCGAATCCCCAGCCCGGGCCCACCAAACAACAATGATGGCTGCAACCAAAAAATGGCCAGGCGTTGTGGCGGGCGCCTACTTGGGAGGCAGAGGCAGGAGACTCACTTGAGCCCAGGAGTTGGAGGTTGCTCTGAGCTGTAAAGCCATGGCACTCTACCCAGGGGGATAGCTTGAGGCTCCATCTCAAAAAAAAAAAAAAAGAAAAAAAAAAGAAAAAAGGCATCGCTTTGCGGCTGTGCTGGGAATCCCAATCAGTGAGAAAATTCTGCACTCGTCCAAATTGTTTCATATTGCTGGGGCTCTGCCTGGCAATGGGCTGCAGACACTATGTTGGCACAACCAGATTCTGACTGAACTGTGAGATTGGCTGCCATCTCCTCAGCAGTCTGTGAAGGCCACAGCCCTTGCTTCAAGGGACCATCTGAGTCCATGTATTGCCAGCATTTGAGGTAGCAGGACACTGCCAACTGAATCTGTTTGCATGCACTTCTTTCATGACTGAACATCCCAGGCGGCTCCAGTTGCCCCATCCGCCACCTCCAGACTGCTTCTGCTTTCATCGTCTCTGATGTAGGGTCTCGCTTCCACGGCCAGCTCAGCTGGGCCTCCGCACCCCATTGCCCATGCCCCAGCCCTGGGCTGCAGCTCCATGACTAACTGACACCAAGTGGCGGACCTATATTTTCATCCAAGTTTGGATTTCAACAGGTTACTAGGTCATCAGAATTTTGTCCTTTTCAATCCTGAAACTCCTCCTCATAACAACTTTGTATGACAAAAGTAAGCATCTTTCTTCATCTCTGTTCTGTTAATGTGCAGCATTAAGTATATAACCAGACCACTAGTTTGAAAAGCAAAGTAAAAAAGAACATAAGACTTAGGAACTCCTCTTAATTCAAATAACATGTTAACCCTATTTGCTCCAGTAAAAAGGGTGTGGCACACTTGCTGTGGAGATGACAGTGTACTGGTACCTTTATACCCAGAAGCTTAAAGAGACTAGATAAGTAGTTCTGAGCATGGTCTGGGAATTCCTGGAAGTCTCTGAGATCCCCTCAGGTGGTCTGGGAGGCCAGAACTATTTTCTTTTTCTTTTTTTTTTTTTTTGAGACAGAATCTCACTATGTTGCCCTTGGTAGAATGCCATGGCATCACAGCTCACAGTAACCTCAAACTCATGGGCTTAAGGGATTCTCTTGTCTCAGCCTCCCAAGTTGCTGGGACTACAGGCGCCCGCCAAAATGCCTGGCTATTTTTGTTGTTCTTGTTGTCATTGTTGTTTAGCAGGCCCGGGCCAGGTTCGAACCCACCAGCCTCAGTGAATATGGCTGGCACTCTAACCATTGAGCTACGGGCTCCAAGCCAGGCCAGAAGTATTTTCATAATATGAAGACCTTAATTTGACTTTTGCACATTCACTCTTTCGCAAGCATATAGTAGGATTTTCCAGAAGTCACACAATATGAGACATCACAAGAGATCTACTCCCTCCATTATGCTGGGATGCTGGTTTTCACTGGTATCATAGAGCTGTTAAGTGGGGGACAGGAATGAAGCATATAAAATGCCCTAGATCGGGTGGTGCCTGTGGCTCAGTGAGTAGGACCCCAGCCCCATATACCGAGGGTGGCAGGTTCAAACCCGGCCCCAGCTGAACTGCAACCAAAAAATAGCCAGGCATTATGGTGGGTGCCTTTAGTCCCAGCTATTTGGGAGGCTGAGGCAAGAGAATCGCTTAAGCCCAGGAGTTGGAGGTTGCTGTGAGCTGTGTGACGCCACGGCACTCTACCAAGGGCAACAAAGTGAGACTCTGTCTCTCCAAAAAAAAAAAAAAATGCCCTAGATCAGTGCCAGAGAAGTGAGAGTAACAGAGGCCAAACTGAGTTAAATATGGTCTGGGTGTTTGAAGTGAAGACTGAAGAAATCACATGATTGACTTTGCTGAGGAACACAGCAGTGGAGTCAAGCCAAGGGAAATATTCCAGGCCAAAATTCACAAGTAGAAATGTCCATGAATATTAACAACACAGTATCTGAAACAACCTAGATGGTCATCAATAGGGGAAGAGCTGAACAATTCTATATTTATACCATAGGATACCATGAACCAGTTAAAAAGGCTAAGTTAGGCTGAGCAGGTTGCTCATGCCTGTAATCCTAGCACTAGGGGACAGTGAGGTGTGTGGATTGCCTGGTCTTAGGAGTTGGAGACCTTGGGAGGCTGAGGCAGGAGGATCACTTGAACTCTAGAGTTTGAAGTTGCTGTGTGCTACCATGATTCAAAGGCACTCTACCCAGGGCAACAGAGTGTATCACACACTCTATCAAAAAAACAAAACAGGCTCAGTGCCTGTGGCTCAAGTGGCTAATGCACCAGCCACATACACCTAAGGTGGCGAGTTCGAATCCAGCCCGGGCCTGCCGAACAATAATGGCTGCAACCAAAAAATAGCCAGGCGTTGTGGCAGGCGCCTGTGGTCCCAGCTACTTGGGAGACTCGCTTGAGCCCAGGAGTTGGAGGTTGCTGTGAGCAGTGAAGCCATGGCACTCTACCCAGGGGGACAGCTTGAGGCTCTGTCTCAAAAAAAAAAAAAAAAAAAAAACAGGCTTAGCGCCTGTAGCTCATTGAGTAGGGTGCTGGCCACATAAACCAAGGCTGGCAGGTCTGAGCCCAGCCCGGGCCTGCTAAACAACAATAACAACTACAACAAAAAAATAGCCAGGCGTTATGGCTGGTGCCTGTAGTCCCAGCTACTCAGGAGGCTAAGGAAAGAGAATCACTTAAGCTCAAGAGTTTGAAGTTGCTGTGAGCTGTGATGCCACCTCTCTCTACCAAGGGTGACAGACATATTGACACTCTGTCTCAATAAACAGTGTTAAACAGTTGTCCCTATATACTAACATATGAAAAAAAAGAAGCATCAAAACAACACCTTAAGAAAAAGGATGGGTGGACTTTATCAACGTCAGTACCCTGGTAAAAGTATGCCAGGGTACTGTATTATTCTTTACAACTGCCTGTGAAACTATTATTTTCTCAAAATTTGAAAGTTTTGGGTTTTCTTTTCTTTTCTTTTTTTGAGACAAAGTCTCCAGCTGTTGCCCTGGATAGCGTGCTGTGGCATCATAGCTCACAGCAACCTCCAACTCTTGGGATCGGTTTTTCTAGTTTTAGTAGAGATAGGGGTCTTGCTTTTGCTCAGGCTGGTTTTGAACACGTGAGCTCAAGCAATCCACCCCTCTCAGCCTCCTAGATTGCGAGGATTACAGGCGACCATCCTCAAAACTTAAAATGTTTAATTAAAATAATTTCGGTATATACATAATGTGGGGGCTTTTTTTGTTTGTTTTTTGCGACTGTTGCCTTTGGTAGAATGCCATGACATCACAGCTCATAGCAACCTCAAACTCTGGGGCTCAAGCGATTTTCTTGCCTCAGCCTCCCAAGTAGCTGGGACTACGGGCACCCTCCACAACGACCAGCTTTTTTTTGTTGTTGTTGTAGTTGCCATTGTTGTTTGGCAGGCACAGGCAGGATTCGAACCCCCCCAGCCCTGAGGTATGTGGCCAGTGCCCAAGCCGCTGAGCTACAGGTGCCGAGCCAATGTGGAGGCTTTTTTTCACAGTAAACAGTATCTTTTACCATCAAGAACTATTTTTAAACTACATTTATTTTTTATTTTTTTAGAGACAGAGTCTCATTTTGTCACCTTTGGTAGAGTGATATACTGTCACAGCTCTCAGCAACCTACAGCTCTTGGGCTTAGGCGATTCTCTTGCCTCAGCCTCCCGAGTAGCTGGGACTACAGGCGCCCGCCAAAACGCCTGGCTATTTTTTTTTTTTTGTTGTTGTTGCGGTTTGCCTGGGGCCGGGTTCTAACCCACCACCCTCGGTATATGGGGCCGGCGCCCTACTCACTAGGCCACAGGCACCGCCCCAAATTACATTTATTTATTTATTCATTTATTGTTTTTTTTTTTTTTTTTTTGGCGGAGGCTGGGTTCGAACCCACCACCTCCGGTATATGGGGCTGGTGCCTTACTCCTTTGAGCCACAGGCGCCGCCCAAATTACATTTATTTTTAATTATGGGTACACAATAGCTGCACACAAAACTATTTACGGGGTTTTTGTTTTTGAGACAGAATCTCACCCTGTCGCCCTAGGTGGAGTGCGTGGCGTCATAGCTCACAGCAACCTCAAACTCTTTGGCTCAGACGTGGTTTCACTGTTGCTTAGGCTGGTCTCTAACTCCAGAGCTCAGGTGATATACAAGGCTCCACCTCCCAGCGTGCTGGGATAACAGACTTGAGCCACCCACCGCGCCCCACCCTATTTTTTGTTTTGTAAATAAAACAGAGCTGGGAGGTAGGGTGGGAGAAAGCAAAATCTCAGCCCAGGATTCCCTTTGGCCAAGGTGATAAAGTCACAAATTTCAAGGTCTCTAGGTCCGCCTTCGCCTGGAGCCTCCCGAGTCACCACCTCTAGAAGTTTGAGATGACTCGGTATTGCTAACGGGGGTGGCTACTCTAGCCCACCTCGGAGGTCCAAATCTTGTTAGCACAGAGGTTAACCCCTCTAGCTCCCCATAGGTTACCGAGACGTCCGCGGCTCGGACATCTTGCGGGGAGAAGGCGCTCTCCCCCTCTCTTACCCCTCCCCAGTTCCCTCAGTCTTGCCCTTGGAGCTCCTTCTCCACCTCTCGATTCCTCAGCCGACCTCCCTCCGATCCCAGGCCCTCCTCACTCGTGATGTTCCTAAGACCGGCAAACCAGGAAAGGAGAACTTCGGCAGCGTTTTTCCGGCCAGGATGAGTCATTTCCGGTCACAGACTCCCTCCCCCGGAAGTGGGGCCTGATGTAAACACCAGAGCCGGGCGCCAAGGCCCGGGAGGTCAGAAAGCCGGGCCGCGGGCGGCACGGACAAGTGGGGCCGGGGTCGGGGACACGCGGACGTCAGGTCGGTGACAGCGGCAATAAGCTGGAGCACAATTCCAGGGTTGCTTGGGGTCTGGAGGAGGGTTTTTTGAGTAGGGGTCTTGGTAGGTTGGGGTTCAGGACAGGGATCTTGAGTGGGTGCTAGCGTTGCAAGAAGTATGACATTCTTGGGAGAGGGGTGAAGCTTTCCGGACAGTGTTCTCGGGTGGCGCGGGCATTTGCAATGAAGGTTTAAAACAGGGGTCTTTGAAGGTGTATCTGTCCAGAGCATGGGTCAAAGGTGGAGCTGTCCAAATAATGAGAGTGAGGTGGCCTGGTGAAGGGTGTTAACATGGGGGAATGGTGGGAGATTTGGGCTCTTGTTAGGTGGGGAGGAGGTGCGCCTGGGCAGAGTTCAAAGGGACGATGGAGGCTCTAGGGCAGTAATCTTGGGGGGTGGGTTCCTGGTCAGTCATCTTGGGGACTTGAGATCCTCTTAAGCAGGAGTTTGGGATGATTTGTTCTTGGCAAGGGTCTTGAGAGGTAAGAAGTCTTGGGGAAAGGATGGAGTCTAGAGGAAGAATCTTAGGGGGATGGCGTTCCTGGGGGGGCGTCCAGATAGGTCATGTTGGAATCAAGGAAAGCAGAGCACAAGGAAGATGTCTCGTGGGTGAGGACTTTACAGTGATAAGAGAATCCTTGAGGGCAAAAAGAGGATCTAGAGGAACGCCCAGGCTGGCCCTGGTTGGGAATGAGCAAGGTAGGAGAAGAGGTCATCCCAAGGGGTTTGGAAGCCTCTGAGGAGGGAAGAGGGAAGGTGTGAGGGGACCCTGGGGTGGTCAAATAGGTTGGAGTAGAGTTCCAGAGAGTGGTGGACCAAGCATAGCAGTCTCAGGGCCAAGTTGTGGAGGTGCAAAAAGAGGTACCCTTTCCCTTATTTATTGACAGGTGGAGTTGGGTGCTAGGTTCAGGTGTGAAGATAAGAAGTGGGTTGGAGGCTGGGCGCGGTGGCTCACGCCTATAATCCTAGCACTCTGGGAGGCCGAGGTGGGTGGATCGCTTGAGCTCATGAATTTGAGACCAGCCTGAGCAAGAGTGAGACCCCCCCACCCTGTCTCTAGTAAAAATGAAAAACTGAGGCAAGAGGATGGCTTGAGCCCAAGAGTTTGAGGTTGCTGTAAGGTATGATGCCACGGCACTCTACCAAGGGTGACAAAGTGAGGCTCTGTCTCAAACAAACAAACAACAACAACAACAAAAAGATGAGCTCTCAAGCTGACTTTCTTTTAGTGGTCTCAAAAATAAATTAAATTTTTTTTTTTTAAAAAAGAAGTGGGTTGGGAGTGGTTCCTGGCCATGTCCTGCATTGGGGTCAAGATTGGCTTGGGTTGAGATATCACTGGAGCACTCCCTACTTCCATTACTTCCTAATGAGTCAGTGAGGGCCAGTGTGTAAGGAGGCAGCAGGTGGGGGGAAGGTCACTGCAGACCTGGAGCTGTGGTTGGCCAAATATGAAAAGACTGGGGTAGTGGGGTGCCAATCTGTTTGGCATCTTGGGAACTTAGAATAGAGACCCCAAGACTCCCCGTTTTTATCTTCTTTGCATTCCTGCCATTCAGTGGTTAGCATAGTGGTAAAGGGAAGACTAAATCCGTTAGGGAAGGAATTTTAAGAGGGGAGATCCTAGGACTCTTCCCATCTTTATCCCATTTATGTCCAGGAAAGCAATCCTGGATCATGACTCAGCAGCCACTTCGAGGAGTGACAAGCCTACGTTTCAACCAAGACCAAAGTGAGAGAGGCTTGCACCTGTACCCACTGGGAGGGAGGGAGAGGAAGGTCAGAGGTGGCCCATGGGCTCCCAGCTTCCCTCCACATTCTTTGCAGCAGTCCAGATTCTTTCTATCCCCTAGGCTGCTTTTGCTGTGCCATGGAAACTGGTGTGCGCATCTACAATGTGGAACCATTGATGGAGAAGGGGCACCTGGGTGAGCCATTGCTGGGGAAGGGCAATGGGCAGAATGGCTGGGCTTGGGCATTGGCCCCCACCTCCACTGACACCCTGGTCCCTGTCCAGACCATGAGCAGGTGGGCAGCATGGGCCTGGTGGAGATGCTGCACCGCTCCAACCTTCTGGCCCTGGTGGGCGGTGGTAGCAGCCCCAAGTTCTCAGAGATCTCAGGTAAGTGGCCTCATCCTGCCCTTGGCCCAGATTTCCCGGATTCCTGGCCTCCCACAGGCACCCTGAGGCACTGGCAGATGAAGATGTCAGAGCACCTCATAGTCACGCAGTGAGGCCTACAGCTTGGAAGTCATGGATTATAGCTTGAGAAGCCTGGTGGTGTTTTCATTTAAAAAAAACTTCTTGAATGCCTCCTGTATGCCATGTTCTTATCTACAGAGCGCTTATCATGAACCTGGTACTTTCCTAAGCACTTAACATGTATTAACTCATTTAATCCTCACAGTAACTCTATGGGGTAGGAAGTATCATTATTCTCATTTGTACTCATGAGGAACTGAAGCCTGGTGAGGTTAAAGGATTTATCCAAAGTCATGAAACCAACAGGTTTTAAAACCTTGGCACTGTCTCCCCAATGCCCCTTGGCTTGAGCCTTAAATGTCCTCCTGCTTTAAGTGGTGTTGTTGATCCCTCTGGGACATGACAGGAATCACTTTAGGTGAGTCACAGAACCCTAAGAGTTTTCATAATCTCCTGGAGGTATAGACTAGGACCTGGAGGCAGAAATAGTTAATAGTTACTGAGGGGAAGTTACAAACCTGAATATGTGTCCCTTTTTGATTGCTGATAGGCTATGAGCTCCTTGGCCAGGCATTCAACTCCCCCAAACCTTGGTTTCCTCATCTATACATAACAGTTCTAGAACCAATGATTTCAGGGATCATGTCCATAAGTGTTCATGCTATGTGAGACTCACATTGGGTGTTTAGTGAAAGGCTAGTAAGTGGGTTGAGGTCCCATGGAGAGTAGGGTTGGGTCCTGTGTCACCAGGGCTGGCCCTCACCCTGAACCTTGGCCCCAACAACCCACCCACCTGCCCAGCAGTGCTGATCTGGGACGATGCCCGGGAGGGCAAGGACTCCAAGGACAAGCTGGTGCTGGAGTTCACCTTCACCAAGCCAGTGCTGGCTGTGCGCATGCGCCATGACAAGTGAGCCTGAGGAGGACTCGGGTGGAGGGTAGGAGGTCCCCATAGCAGGTGAGAGGGTTAGTTCTATCTTGGCTTCCCACCCTCCCCTCACCACCATCCTATGTTCTGTGAGGCCCACAGGATCGTGATTGTGCTGAAGAACCGCATCTATGTGTACTCCTTCCCTGACAGTCCCCGGAAGCTGTTTGAGTTTGATACACGGGACAACCCCAAGGGTGAGAGGACCCAAATAGGTGTACAGGTGTGAGATAGTGGATGGGCAGAGGGACAGAGATGAGGAGGAAAAAGAAAAGACACACACAAAGCAGCTGGGAAAGAGGCAGGGAGAGAGTGTGCAGAGATGATCACACTAGTAGTTTATCCCATCTTTCCATTCCTCAGCCAGCTCTCTCTCTCCCCACCCTCAGCCCTGTCCCACTCCTTGGTGCCCCCAGATGGCAGAGCAGAAGAAACACTTAGTGAGGACATGGTGGGTGTTCCAGGGATCCCTGGGCCACCTGGGGCTGTCATAGCATCTTACTAGAATTCACAGCTGCACGGGGAAGAAGGGGACCTTCATAGCTGGTGGGGCATGCAACTGAACTGGACTCCGCTGAGGGTTCTGTGGGTAACATGTATCATGGGGGCTTGAAATCTGGCCTGTATCCAACTGTCCATTCTGAGGTGCTGCCTCATCTTCACACCCTAGGGCTCTGTGACCTCTGCCCCAGCCTGGAGAAGCAATTGCTAGTGTTCCCAGGACACAAATGCGGGAGCCTACAACTTGTGGTGAGCTATTGGGGGACAAGGGTGGGTAGGTAGGTGGGTTGGCTCTCTGGGTGGACTACTGGCCCCTCCCCATCATACTCCCCCCCACCTAGAACTGCTCTCTCCTACCCCAGGACTTGGCAAGCACAAAGCCTGGCACCTCGTCTGCCCCGTTCACTATTAATGCCCATCAGAGCGATGTGGCCTGTGTGTCCCTGAATCAGCCAGGCACTGTAGTAGCCTCAGCCTCCCAGAAGGGTACCCTCATTCGCCTCTTTGACACGCAATCCAAGGAGAAACTGGTGGAGCTGCGTCGAGGCACTGACCCTGCCACCCTATACTGGTGAGCACAGGGCACATATTGTGGGCTGGTGACCCCATGCCATGTGACATGTGGACATCACTGCTGTTCTGTCTTTCAGCATTAACTTCAGCCACGACTCTTCCTTCCTCTGTGCTTCCAGTGATAAGGGCACGGTCCATATCTTTGCTCTCAAGGATACCCGCCTCAACCGCCGCTCCGCGTGAGTATCCCTTGCCCCATCCTGCTGCATCCCTGTCCCCCTGCCCATGTACCACACCTGGGCTTAGCCAGTACTGCCTGCAGGCTGGCTCGTGTGGGCAAGGTGGGGCCTATGATTGGGCAGTACGTGGACTCTCAGTGGAGCCTGGCGAGCTTCACTGTGCCTGCCGAGTCAGCCTGCATCTGCGCCTTCGGTCGCAATACTTCCAAGAACGTCAACTCTGTCATTGGTGAGTGGGAACAGCCCCTTGCTTGGGGTTTTGCATGGGCAAAGGCCTACAGTTGGACTGGAAAGAGTTTTAGAACCATAGAAAGCTAGAACATGTGGCTCAACATCAGTAAGGGAGATAGCACTAGGGCAAAGGCCTGGAGGAAGACCCTAGGCCATGGGACACCTGAGAGGGTTGGAATGTGTGGTTTTGACAACCTCTGACATTTCACCACCCATCTCTCCTACCCCAGCCATCTGCGTAGATGGGACCTTCCACAAATATGTCTTCACTCCTGATGGAAACTGCAACAGAGAGGCTTTTGATGTGTACCTTGACATCTGTGATGATGACGACTTTTAAGGACCCTGGGAGTTGTGCTAGGGACCTGAAGTGGCAGACTGCAGAGCTGAGCCTTCGGGATACAGTGCTGTGGAAGCCACCAGCCAGCAAGCATGAAGGGGGCCAGTGCCCACTTTCCACTCAGCAGAGCTTTGTCTAAACAAACAGCTCACTTTCCTCAAGCACTTCTTGATAACTGTGTGCCCGAAGGGCCAGGCCAGGAACCCAGAGGGAATGACCTAGTCCAACCTGGGTATTTTTAAAAGCTTCCCAGGAAGAGATAATCTCTGATGTGATAAATGCGAATAAAAGGCCCTCAATGGCATTTATGGCTTTACCTCAGGGGCGGGGCATGGAGTTTCCAGGAGAGGTGTGGCCCTCCTGGACCCTGACGGGAAAGATGGAGAGTCCCGCTTGGGTCCTTCTGATGGTCTCTCCTCTCTTGTCTTTGGTTACTGTGTGCTTGAGCCGCCGGCACCCCCCAAAGGCAGAGAGCAATTTGAAGGAGCCGCAGTACCTTGCCAAGTGGCAGAAGCTTGTTTCCCGGCAGGCCTTGCTGCTTTTCTGTGTGGCGTGTTATTTGCTTTTCCGGTCACGTGCGTTACTGTCTCTGCGCAGTCCACTTAGGTCGCTAGGCTAGTAGCCGCAACGCCCAGGCTCCATCTCCCAGTGTGCCCCGCGGTGGCGCGGGGTGTTAACGGGTGTTGTAGTCCAACTGCCCTTCTGGTTGGTCCAGCAACATCGACCGGCAGGATGTCTGAGGTGCGGCTGCCACCGCTACGCGCCTTAGACGACTTTGTTTTGGGGTCAGCGCGTCTAGCGGCTCCAGATCCTTGTGACCCACAGCGATGGTGCCACCGCGTCATCAACAACCTCCTCTACTACCAAACCAACTACCTTCTCTGTTTGGGCTTCAGTTTCGCTCTGGCCGGGTGAGGGAGGAAGGAGGCGCCAGTTGGCCAGTGACGTCTGCCGGGGGGACCCGGGGGTCTTTAAGGATCTGTAGGGGTAACCTGATGGGCATGTAAGGCCAAGAAGGGTGGATTAGATAGAGATGTTAGGCCTGAGGAGCTTGGAAGGGGGGCACTTAATGCAATCTGATTATAAGAAGGTCCTGCAGGGGGATGGTGGGTCTGGAGGAAGATCCGGGGAGGAAGGTGAAAAGTGTGTAACTGAAGGAAAAGTTGGCCGGGAGGTAGAGCTTGTAAGATAAGGAGGGCCTGAGAGCACTTTGGGGCTGAGGAGGTTGATGTGATGTGACCAGATTGAGGCAGACTGGAGGATTTAGGGAAGACAGGGACATGGTAAGGTTGAAGGGTTTGGAAGGTGGACTTATGGAGGATAAGGTCTTGGTGGGAGATCCTGGCTGTGACTGGAACGTGCCAAGAGCAGGTAATTTCTGGGGAAGTTGGGCCCAGAGGGAGGACCCAGGGCTAGGAAGCCAGAGACCAAAAAGGGGAGAATAATCTGGAGGAGGGACTTGGGTGGGGCTGGAAGTTTACAGTGGGACTGTTCAAGACTGGAAGGGGTTCTAACAGTGATGGAGGGAAAAATCTATAGGGAAATGGGAGCCTGGAGGGGGCATGGTGTAAGATCCTGACCTGGGGAGAGGGAAATATATGGAGACAGAAGACCTGGAAGAGGAATCTGCAGGGGAAGTTTGGTGGCGAGGAGGGGGCTGGAGAGGGGCCCTGTGTGGGTAGAGTCAGAAGGAAAGACCTGGGAGCCCTGGGAGCCCCAGGCTATAGCAGGATAGGAGGAATGGAAGGGAGGACCTCAGGAAGATAGGAACGTAGAACTGACAGGGAAGACATGAGGGGTCAACAGGGGTCTTAGGCGTCGGAAGCCGCCCCCTTCCCCCGCAGGTTGGACCTGTTGAGACTGGGCTGGTGGGAGTATTGTCAGGCTGGAATCTCCTCAGGCCAAAGGACCATGGCTCCTGGGGCCCCGAATAGAGTGGATGATGGTCCAGGGGCTCTCGGGTGGCCCTCTCCCCTTCTACCCGGCTAGCTTAGCTCCTTTGTCCCCACAGGTACATGCGCCCGCTGCACACTCTCCTAAGTGCACTGGTAGTGGCGGTGGCCCTCGGCGTGTTGGTGTGGGCAGCTGAGACGCACGCAGCCATACGCCGCTGCCGCCGCAGCCACCCCACCTCCTGCCTGGCCACAGTGCTCGCCGTCGGCCTCCTCGTTCTGTGGGTCGTGGGCGGCGCTGGCACCTTCCTGCTCAGCATCACCGGGCCGGTGCTTTGTGAGTTTCTATTACCTCCCCCCCAAGATAACCGGGAAAAGGGACAGGACGTGCTTAAGGCGATGGCTCGCCCCACCCTGATTCTCTGGCTGAGAACTGGGAAGTCCCGGAGATATGGCCACGCCCCCGTTAAAAGCACCTTCCCTGACTTTACTCTCCTTTTTTGGGGAACGCGCTTCTTTCTACTGCCTCTCCAGGTCCCTCCGGGTGTTAAGTGCCTTCCGCTGGCCACGTCCCCGTTACTGGACACCCTTCCTGGCCATGCCCCATTGCAAAGCGAATTATTAGGCCACGCTTTCAGGATCAGAGACCTCTAGGCTGCTCACCAGTCCATTGGCCTGCCTGCGCAATTCCCTTCTGTGGGCCCCGACTGGCTGCAGACTGAGGTCCATACACTGACCCCTCCTCTCGGTTACCACCTACAGTGATCCTGGTGCATGCTTCGCTGCGCCTGCGCAACCTTAAGAACAAGCTTGAGAACAAGATCGAGAGCATTGGTCTCAAGCGGACGCCAATGGGCCTGCTACTAGAAGCTCTGGGACAAGAGCAGGAGGCTGGATCCTAGAGGCCTGGGATCTGTACCCAGGACCTGAAGAATACCCGCCCCCTAGCCCATACTTGGGACCCAGAGCCCTTTCCCAGCCCTTAAAATAGAAACCTCACACCCAGCCCCCACTGCCTAAGAACTAGTCTTCCCCAGACCTGCACCTGGGACTCAGCCACCTACATCCTGCCCCAAACTGGGGCTTGAGATCAGAGCATCCACAGCCAATCTCAAACTGGACCCCAAGACACCCCTCCAACCCAGATCTGAAACCCACTGGTCTCCTACGCTCAGCCCGAAAGTCCGGGTCTAGGACTGAATACTGAACCCTGGACCAAAGCTTTTCCAGACCCTTACCCTAGCTTGAAACCTAGATCAAGGCATGGCCAAATCTTGAACCCCAAACCCAAGTGTTCCCAGCCCCCATCTGGATGGAGTCAGGTATCCTGCCTCTGTTGAACCGTTGGCCCACTTGCCTCCCTCCAGCTCTGCTTGGGATTTTGTCTTTTGCCCCAGTGTTCCAGTATCAGAATCAAGGGGTACCATGGGTGAGGGTAGGCCCCAACTGGGAATGGGGTGTGTTTACACACACATCAGTGTTGCTGCAACAATAAAGGCTGTTGCATCTCTTAAGTCAATCTGGGCTTCCTGGGTAAAATTCTTGCACTTTTAGTTGGACAGAGTGGCCTTCTACATGTTTTTTTTTTTTTTTTTTTAAGAGACAGAGTCTTAGCTCCGCGCCTATGGCTCAAGCGGCTAAGACACCAGCCACATACAACTGAGCTGGCAGGTTCAAATCCAGCCCAGGCCTGACAATGACGGCTACAACCAAAAAATGGCTGCGCATTGTGGTGGGTGCCTGTGTTCTCAGCTACTTGGGAGGCAGAGGCAGGAGAGTCGCTTGAGCCCAGGAGTTGGAGGTTGCTATGAGCTGTGATGCCATGGTACTCTACCCAAGGCAACAGCTTGAGGTTGTCTCAAATAAAAAAGAGAAAATCTCACTTTATCACCTTCGGTAGAGTGCTGTGGCATCAGCTCACAGCAACCTCAAATTCCTGGGCTTAAGTGATTCTCTTGCCTCAGCCTCCCAAGTAGCTGGGACTACAGGCACCTACCACAACCTCCGGCTATTTTTCTTGTTTCTTGTTGCAGTTTGGCAGGAGCCAGGTTTGAACCCGCCACCCTCCCTATATGAGGCTGGCACCCTACTCACTGAGCCACAGGCACTGCCCAGCCTTCTACTTTTCTTTTCTTTTTTTTTTTTTT